TAAGGGGAGACAGAGCAGAACAGATGGCAAAGACCCCGGGATGTCCATACCTGTGCATGAATGGCAGCCACCCACCCCAATATTCTAGTACTAAACGGAAATAAAGATGACCTCAATTTTACTGAGCACCAGCTGTGTCAAAGCCAAACCACGTAAAATCTAACATCACTCAGTACATAAACAAACCAGGAAACAAATACTGAATTGGGTGAAGGAAATTAATATTTTATATTCTCACAAAGTTAAGTGCTAATATGCAAGAAGGCATTAACTGACATTTTGGAATGGAACTAAGGAACAGAAGCAGCAATGAAATATTAATACAAATATGCTGAATTTGACAGGCAAATTGACTTCACAGAATAAAGATGGAACAGAAAAAACAATAAGTTGAAAGAAAAATCTGAAGATAAATGAGATCCATCATTTGACTAGAAGACTCAAGTATATTTGACATGTTTTTCTTCTGATGTATTACTAACCATGCCAGGACTTACAGTTGTTCAGTCTGATTTAGTTACCCTTGAAAGTTTTAGAATGGATATATTAGAAAACATAATCACAAACAGTGACAGCCTGGAAAAAGGTACATATTAATAGATACTGGTGTTGTTTAGATGTACATCTGAAAATAAGGAATACTGTAAAATCACTGATGATTCAATAAAAGGGAATACAATATGCTAATGAAACTCTTTGCCACAAATAAAACAATGGAACATTACTATTCAGTGGAGATCAGGCAAAACCAAAATAAAAATCAAAATTAAAGAAGACAAAAACATTGTTGCACCTTAAAGACTAACTGCTATATTTTAATGTGAGCTTTCGTGGACAAGTCCACGGCCCCAAGCTTGTCCACAAAAGCTCACAATAAAATACAGCAGTTAGTCTTTAAGATGCAACGATGTTTTTGTCTTCTTTAATTTTTTATTTTTATTTTGGTTTGCCTGATATGTTAGCAAGACCAACATGACTACTACTTCTAAAACTACTCCATGGAGAACATTTTTTACACCATAGAAGTAGAAACTAAATATTTTGTTGAACAAGCAACAAATATTTTGCACACCTGTTCATCTGTCTACCTAGAAATGCACCAGATCCAGTCAGGCTTATAAAGGTACCTGACCATTCAGGACTTTCCAGTCAGTTGAATGGGGTTACATTTCTCCCAAAGACTTACCCCTGTTGACATAGAGAGCCGTGTGTGGCCAGGACAAGGCTGGCACACACATCCCCACTTCTCACATGAGCAGGAACTGAAAATGTTTGAAGATCTCTAGGTATCTATATTTATTAAAACACTAAATGGATGGAACTCTTTGGGTGTCATCTGCCAAGAATCAGTAGCGCTTTCATTTAGAAGGTCTGTAAACTGTAGTGTTACAGATCTATTAAGACTCATTTTCTGTCTCCTTGAAATCTCTTTCATTGTTTAATTCCAAGTGAAAAAATGCAGGGCCAGTATTTATACTGTGACCACCTTGCTCACTGTCAGAAATACAATGTGGCACAACAAAGCTCAACAATTTCTGGAAGTCTTGAAACCAAATCATAGCTGTCTATCCAAATTTGGATTTTAAATGCTTTGGGGTTACATGCATGAACTGAGGTACAACTTAAGGTAACCCTATACATTCCCCCTTTTGAAAACCACACATAGATCCCAAACTATAACTACCGTAAAGCCAATTTAGCATTAGGGAGTATTCATAACATGCACACCAAGGACAAGAGGTCTTTGGCCAGCAAAGCTTTCCTATCCGGCCAGCAGAGGGCAGCCAAAGCCCTATACTCTATCAGGGATAGTCCATGGTCAATGGAAACCAGCTCTGTATTCCACTATCTCAAGCCAATTCTTGGGTCTTGCCTTCCTCCCACCCACATACACCAAAATCTTCTGGACTACCTTGAAGCAGCATTTCATAAAGACTTCTCTTACTTCTCAGCTTCCCTATGACAACAAGTGAGGGAAGCCAAATCGACTGGCAGCCTCTTTCTCAAAGCACCTGGAATATCCTGGAACAATGCTTCCTGAAGGAGCCCCCTTTGACTGACAACAGCAAAAGTGAGGTTCAAATCTTTCTTCCCTACAGTATTTTTCCTCATTCCTCATAGTTAGCTGACTGGGAAACAGGTTACGAGCAGTGAAGGGCAGAGATTCTTTTGGAAAGCCAAGTATCAGTTCCTGAATGAGCAGGCAAGTCTCACCGCTTTTCAGCTGTTTCCCAAGGCAAGGGAAGAACGTTTGTGCTACAAGTACCTGTAACATATCTACACTGTTTTGTTGCTGCCTGCATGGATGGATAGAAAAAAAAACATTTGTGGATGGATGGGACATGGATGGGGGAAATATGGTGATGGGGGTGATCGAGCAGGCAATGGGGAGATGATTTGGGGAGGCAAATTGGGTGGCCAGGCAATCAGGCAGTGCGAAGAGGAGTCGATTAAAGTGAGCGTTAGTAGAAGTGAGCCGTCCCCTCCATCGTCTCGGGTGAGTGGGGGCGACACCACTTTAAGTGGGCTAGTTCAGGGGGTGCAGGAGGTATCTCTTGAGGGTGAGCCAGTTAAAGAAAGGGCGGGAAAAGAACAGCCAGTAGTAGAGGGTTTCCTAATGAAAACAGAGTGGGAAGAAAAGGTGGGAAAGAAGAGTTGGGGGGTCAGAGGAGTGGATAGACCCGAAGGAGGACGACAAAAAGAGAAAAGGTGAAAGACTGAAAGAAGAAGAGGAACCTTATGTGTTCTCTTTCTCTAAAAGGGAGGAAAGAGACAAGGACAGGGCAGGTCAACTTATACGCTGAGATACAATTGGGGGAACTGGACCCACTCAAATGGACAGTCTACGTCTACCTGTGGGGGGAAGAGTCCCAGTAGGAATGTGGCGCAACCGGAGCCTATTCCTACTGGAGAGACACCCTGAGAAGGAGAATGGGCATGCCACTTGTGTTGTGGGACTATATGCACTCTGCTGAGGAGACTAAACAACAGGTAATGATTTCGGATGTCACCACATTAAAAGTACCTAATCAGATGGAATTATCTACGTTGTGGATTGGTCCACATAGGTCAAACAGTTTTGTTGGACCCACAGAAGTTATTGTACACCCATCCCTGTGCACGCTAAAATCTAAAACAGGTTGTTTTTAGTCCAACCTGATATAAAAGAGGGGTATTTTTCCCAGTAGGATCGAGCCTTTAGCTGGCATATTTTATATTTTCTCAACTGAATGCTTGCTTTAGAGGCTGTAATAAATGCACATTTCTTTTGGATACTTAGATATATAGACCATTATTCTGTTGGAAATATGGAGCGTAAATGCTATACAGAGGAAGTACAGCATGTTTTCCCCAGAAATCTCTGGCTTGCAATTATACAAGCTGGAGGTTGTTTCACCAATGACAATTAGGATTTCTGCTCACATTATGTGTTGTTGGGTTTCTCCTTGTATGACCAGTAGGGAAGGAAAAATCATGTATGGAACACACAGTTCAACAGAATGTCCCTCCCCCCACCCTGGCACACAGGACAGTAGTCATGGACAGAAACATTGTCAGAACATGGAAATAAAGCAGTGTCTATTTCCAGAGAACTTCAAAAATCCATGTACACTCTAGGATCTGTATTGCCGTTCTCCTGCCCAGATCATATGAGGCTCCCATCTCCATGTTTTCTCCTGAGGAAGAAGCATTACTTGGAAGATGTTCTAATATGGTCTCAGCCCTAGCAGGCAGGATTCTCCACAAGATTGATTCAAACCTTCATTCTGAAGAACGGGCAAAGCTAGCCCGCAGAAAATATACAGCTCTTTCTTCTTCTTTTTGTGGCCCTGCACCACTACAAAAAAGTTGTGGTTCTGTCCCAAATTCCCCCTCTGCCTTTCAGACTACTCTAAAGAGAACTCCTTCCCTCCAAGTTTGTAAGGTATATAAGCCTCCCACTTATTCAAAGTAAAATAATATTTCTTTTTAAAAAAAACAAGCAGTGCCTACTTTGATTTCTGCTGCTGAATTTCAGCAGCATACAGAAGCAGCAGCATGTGGGTGGCAGAGATTCCAGATGTTTTGGACACTGGGCCCACTCATATCTTGCTCCAAAAATATGCAAATAACTCTCAGAAGAAAATCCTAAACAAAATCTCCATGATAAAAGTTACACTTTTCTTCTATCTGTACTGTGTTTTGACGAAAGAAAATACCTCCTAGCCAGTGCTAAGAGGTTTTAGTCATTTAAGAGCTTTAAGATTTGGGAAAAATACCAAGTTTGACCGCCACACGCTCACTAAGGAGAAAGAACTCATTCTATGCCCTTCTGAAAGTGCTAATAGCCTAGTGTACCACTGATCAATCCTTCATAAATAACGCTTTCCAAAATACATTTCAAAGAGTACTTGAACATACAACATTCACGGTAACTCTTTAGAGAGAAAAACAGACCAAAAAATATATATAAATAAACCAAAATGAGAGAGACCAAGCCTTCTGTTTAAACATCTTACAGTGCTTGCTAAGTTCCCTAACATAACAATCTGCCAGCAAATTCATCAAGAGAATTGCTGCATTGGGGCTAATTAACTCCTCCAAATAAGGTTACAAAATTTCCCCTGGACTCTTAGAATAGCCTAAGACCTTGGCCTTCCCTTGACCAAGATATGTGCAGCTAAAAGGTCTTAAGTTATTCAATGTGCTACATATGAACATCAGCATTAGCTTTATTTTTACTTTCAGACGAGGTATTCAATTAATATGGATTCCTGTGTAAGTATGGAATTATAAACATGCTTTCTGGTGCAATAAATCTGTGATGCAAAAGCACTGTACATTAGAATGAAGAAAATGCTGCCTTTTGGTGAAAAGCTCTTCAACAGTTATATTTGCTGGACATTTTTTTCTTGAAAATCTGCCCCAAATAATGATTAAAACACAGCATATTTTAAATCTTCAACTGTGTGTTCTGTGTTATTAAAATTAAGTTAAAGAAAGGGTCTTTAGCAACTCACCTTCCAAAAGTTGTCAACTTTGCCATAGACAAGCGACTGATTCTGCCTTTTAATCACATTGAAGTGCTTGATATCACTGGAATTTAGGTACTGCTCTACAACAAAACCAAGGAAGCTGTTGTTCTGAGTGTGAGCTGCAAACCAAACAAGAAAAAGTCACTGTTACATCATTTCATTTCTGATAACTTATAGCTATTAAATGTCTAGAAGACATCTTATACTTTTATCTATGTACATTCAAAAACAGATCTGGAAGTTGAGTCATGGCAACTGGACTTGTTCCTTATTAGATGGAAATGTTTTGCTACTCATCTAAGTAGCTTCTTCAGTCTGAGGAGAGTTAGTAGGCAACCCCTGATAGATCCTCCAGGGTGATTTCACTTTCCCCTGGTCTGAGTAGTCTCATTAGATGGACGGTTGTTCACAGTGGTCTTTCTGGTGCTGTCTGGTCCTGATCTTTCTGGGGATGGATGAAAGGGTAGCATGATAAATAGGAGACAGATTATTATCTAAGGCCTCCACCCCTGTTGAGTGAGGGGTTTTCTATATGTACATGTATGGCCTCCTTGACCCTTCTCTCAAACCACCTATTGTCTCAGTCCAAAATGAGTACATTCTGGTCACCAAATGAGTGCCCTTTCTCCTTCAAATGAAGGAAAACTGCTGATTGTGGTCCCTAGTCCTTTTCCCTAGTCCTTTCTTTGTCCTTCTAATGAGCCTATTTAGGCCAGGGGGAAGTCAAACCAAGGTGGAGGATATATAAGGGATCTCCTAACAACTCTCCTCAGACTGAAGAAGCTACTTGAAGGAACAGAGAAAAAATTCAACCTAGTAAGAAATAAGACCAGTTGCTATGACTCAACTTCCAGATAACCTCACCTGGATGACTGAGAATCTTCACAGATATATTAAAAAACAGAAGACTCCAAAGCTGATGGGATATTTACAACAAATGCTTTGATATTAAACATAAATATTAAATGACATACTATAATAATCTTCTATGTGTACATATTTTTGTGGTTATATAATGCAGTACTCCCAGGAGCTACTGTAACATGAATAAATTAAACCACTTTTAAAACAAACTCCTTCCATGAACCCCCTGTTGATAAAAAATTACACTGCAGTGATTTTTCTGAAATAAAAATTTTCTAGTTCTCCCTTCCTGAAGAGCCAGAGGCCCCCATGGGATCCCTTTCATCACAGGGAGGCCACTGTGGGCTGTGGGGAAGTCTTCAATTTTTTTAAAAATTGTTGCCAGCTGTGAAATCATGCCAGCAGAGGAACAGGACTGCGGTCAGAGAACTGCAAACATTCTTCAGGTTAGGATACTCTGTGTTTCCTTTATTAAGGGCCAAAAAATAGATATCACCAAGCCATGAAGCTTGAAGGCACAGGAAGACTAAGTTGATGCAAATCTGAAAAGAGGTAACTGTACTACTTTTGTTTTAATGCAGATTATAACTTAATTAATAACTGAGTGAAAATTTAAATCTAGATGCCATTGGCACAAAGCAGCTTAAAGGGACGTATAAATTAAGAATCTGAAAAAGGCACAGATCACCAAACAATTTTCCTGAACAATCCAGCCACCAGTATACTATGTTACAATGTTACATTAACAGTACCATAATAAGTGGTTGTATTTTTGGAGAGACATGAAAAACTTCTCATTACTTTCAACATATGTCACAACAAGAAACCATTTCTTTTCTACAAAATAAAGTTCCATGTTAGATTTGTGACTAGATCCTACGTTCTTATTTTTTTTTAAAGTCCATTCAGTGGAATGATTGACCTCTTGAACACATGCCCTGTTCCCACTGCAAAAGAGATTTAAAAATATATTTTGAATGATTTAGGAGATTCACATTAAAGAAGAAAAGCTACAGGGGCTTGGAAGGGGCTTCAGTCACAGGAACCTACAGACACAACTGAGCTAATCAGAGATACAAGAGAACTACTGCAAAATAAAGCTAATCTACCTTGTCCTTCCAATCCAATCGAATCCAACCAAGAAATCTGTACCCATATTCCTTGATGTAACAAAATGCCAATTAGAGGACACAGAATTCATTTTATGTAATTATACAATCCTTTACTCCCAGAATTGGCATCTATATGCTTTTCTTAAAAGTGGGCCAGTAGTAGGAACAGTAATAAGCTAAATAAATTGTCTGAGTAACTGAATAAATTAAGAAATCAATTTGTTTTATTGTCCTACAGACAAAATAAACTTACCAACAGAGAACCTTCATAATGTTGGATATTAAATTTGACCCCCAGGATTTACCCCACTCCAGAAAAATTAATATGAAAAAATAAGGACTGTGTGGTATAGCCACTGAATAGTAATAGGACATTTTAATATTTGTTTATTATATATGCAATACAGATCTGTATTCTGGAAGACAGAATTTAAATTTTCTTAGTTACCCTTTATTTTACTAGTTTGTGGACTTCTCTATTTTATCCATTTTTGGATTTCTCTTTGTAGATATATAACTTCTCCCTAAAGTAATTATTTTTGTAAACAAGGTTAACTTACGAAACATGGTATAGAATTGTTGTGGATTAAGGTTCCACTTCCCCCAGGGTGTTTTATGGCCTTTAGACTGGGCATAATGAGCATGGTTAAACTCTGGTTCAGTCCCAAATGAATCTAGCACCCGCAACATACACCTATGTGAAAAGAAAGCAAAGCAACAATAAAGTTAGTAATTGACTCTTACACCATCTAAAACTGAAACAAAAAGAAAAGCAATCAGTTCCTGCATATTTCAGCATAAAGGCAATTACTTACTGCAAGAGCAATCTCTGTTTCCTCTCAATGTTTTCCAACCTTGGGTAACCCAGGTGTTAGACTACAAGTTCCAGAAATTGGGTAACCCAGGTGTTCTTGGACTACGAGTTCCAGAAGCCTTCACCCTCAGATGTTCCTTCTGCAGTTTCTGGGAGTTGTAGTCAAAAAACACCCATCTCAGATGTTCCTTCTGCAGTTTCTGGGAGATGCAGTCAAAAAACACCCATGTTACCCAAGGTTGGGAACCACTGCTCTAGATAATCACCTAAATTTCCATTTCATGACAAGTCATGGTTCACCATTTTATTTGAACCCTCAATATACAAGAGTTTCCTTTCTTTCTTCAACAGAATTTGAAGCTGATATGGAATCCTTCCCCAGACTAACTGGTCTCCCCATCCTCAAGTCTAAAAACACAGCTCTTTTTTTTTTAAAAAAATGGAAATGAAATATTTATAAGTTGCTTTATATGCTACTATACTTACTGATAGTGAACCCAGGACGGTCCAAGGGTTTTCTTGAACTGAGTGAGCCCAACAATGTCAATGTAAATAAGTTCTACTACTTTATCCCCCTGTGTAGGGCAGCCAGACCGGTTACCAACAACCTTCTTCATAATCCTATTATAAGAAAAAGGAAGAAGACATCTCTATCAACTTGCTGCATTTGCATGCAAGATCAACATGTAAATATAATTTTATCGGTAATTTTGCATGACATATTTAGAGACAGAATGACTAGCAGGGTAGTACATGTATTCACAATGAATAGGAGGCAGTGGTTTTGGAGGGCCTAATGTATCCTAACAACAACTCACTGGCTCTCAGCTAATATCTCAATGACCAATGCAAAAAACAGTTCTTTCTTTCTTCACGTCAGAAGCACCACAGTGCAATTAATTAATATATCACATAAATGTCGCCCAATAATGGGCAACATCAAAGGCATTTGGGCAGCTAAAATCAAGTCATCCCTAGCACATGTTGAAGGGCACAAGAGTACACTGACATTGGTGTAAAGCTCCCTGTTCTCCACATTTTCCAAAGAATAAGTTTGTATGAAAACCCTATTTTCTAAAGTTCATGTTTGGTTCTGTCAGCTCCAATAACACAAATGTTGTCAAGTTCTGACAAAAATTTAGAAAGGCATGCAGCTTTTTCTGTCCTTTCTCTTCCCTCACAGTCAGTCACAAGCTATCCAGGATCGCATAGGCATGATGAACAAGAGCTGGAGCAGGAAATGAAATGAACCAACATCTGCTTTGCCACCTTGTGTGGCTTTCAGTTCCTGCAGGGCATCCAAGCCTAGTTTTTCCTGTCTTGACTGGATACCACAGCTTGGAAATGAATTGGTTAAAAACCATTAGTTACATAAATTTCTTAAAATTTCTAACGCTGGCCAAAATAAACTAAACTAATGAACATCAACTATTACATCGAGGTAAGATTGTTGACATCATGTTGAATTTTTAAAATCATTATTGAAATGTTTAATGTATTAGGAATAACACATCAGATTAATAGGATATTATTTTCACATTTCAATATTAAGGAATTAGATGCCTTTCAGTGATTCAGTGATGATGTATTAGCACTAACAATAGCATTCCTAAGCTCTGGCATAACATACACATAGCTTGCTGCCTTTTAGATCAACACAGGTAGCTAGATAAAGCTCGTGACTGACTTGAGTTCTGCTATTTCCTTTATGAGCCATCAAAAAGAGAGAATGACACTTCTTCTTCTCTCTTCCCCACTCTGATGATAGATTAATTCTGATTTCATGGCTGCACTCAAAGAGAATTAGTGGGTAAGGATTCTGTAGAATCATGGCTTAACATGTTTACTTATTTGCTCCTGCCTAGCTCTTCCTTGCTAGCAGTGCTGCTATAACAGGAAAGAGGCATTTATTTACTACAGCCAAAATCCTATACTTGAGTAAGGGAAACTGTGCAAACTGCCCAGAATGGCCTTGGCTGCCAGATGGGTGGTATACCAATCTACCAACCAACCAACCAACCAACCAACCAACCAACCAACCAAACCAACCAACCTTGGTGGAAAATGCCACTTAATAATAAGTGACTGTGCTAGGAATGTGACCAGCACTTCCTTAATGAGTGGCAGTTTGTTGCTAAGATCAGACATGGGATATTCATATTACAAATACTGTCACAACAGGTGCCAGGGAAAACCAGACCCTCCCCCTGAATGAGCGGGTCCACCTACTGCTCACCACACGGCGCACACAACAGACGTAGTTCTCGTTGCATCGATCTGGGAAGCAGCCTGGCTGGCACATTCCTGGCCTCCCTGCACAGCTGACCACTCCAGCAAGGAGGTGGGATGATGAGTCCCTCCAATCAGCTGTTGAGAGCCTGGCACTGGCCAGGCTGCTTCCTTGATTGGTGCAATGAAAATGATGCCTGCTGTGTGCCAAGCATTAAGTGGACCTGCCAGTTTTGAGGGGGAGGGTCCAGTTTTCCCAGGCACCTACGATGCTGATATTAGTATTCGTATCCCCATGGATGCGAATGCAAATATCCCACATCTAGTCAAAACTTGTATGATTTTCCTTGATGCAGGAGTCAATTAACAATAGTATTCACCACACTGTATAAAAGCAAGAGTCTTGTCTTGTTGCTCCCAGACAAGCGAGTCTTCATGAACTATGAAAAAACCCTAATTTCTCCTGGCTTGTAAAGCAAATGGCAATCCATGATTTAGACAAAACGCTAAACAAACACTATCTGTTTTTCTTTAATGGTCATGCTGGGGGAAGGGGGCAAGGCAGAAAAGTGAGCAGGCTGCCTGCCTCAGGACCACAGCTCTTCATACTGTATTAACACAGCCCATATCATTGAAAAGTGAGCTATATGCTGGGAAAATCTAAAATGGTTCTCCTGTCAAGACAGAAGCTGGTCTTAAAGAAATGGTCTTTCCTTTTGTTAAACCAGCTTGACAGATCCACCTTTTCTTGACAAAATATGCTGACCTCTTTTTGCAGCAGAACTATTTGTATTTGAAGAAGTATTGCTGTGGTATTAATGTGCTGAAACTTTAGAGACAGGATTAACTTCATAACTTGATTAGCATCAAGACAAACAAGAAAATCAGTGCATGCAGTACTGTACAGGCTATTCTAAGCAGACTGAAAATAAAAATGCTCCAGAAGAATTCTTCCCACACATGTGGTTATTCATATGTAGTACTATTATCAAGCAAGGTATGACTAATCTTTCCATCCCACACTGTAAACATTTTCACTTGAAACTACATATTTATACAGTACAATACAATTCAATACAATACAACACATACACACTTCCATGGCTAGCTTCTATACATACAACAGGCTTAATTTACAAGAAAGCAAAATAGAAAAATTCTTTCAGGCTTATTTAATTGAGTCATTGTACAGCTGAACAGTCTTTGAAGCCTTATCAACAATGCTTATCAGTGCTCAACGTTCAACAAGTGCCCTTTCTGAAACACCTGTTCAATTAAAACAGCAGTGTGATTAGTGTTGTGATTCTCTTAACTTTTTCAGATAAATATTCTAAATGAAGCAGTTCAAAATTAAGAGCAACATGGAGTAAGGTTTACAGATCAAAACCTCAAACCTTGTTGCAAACAGCAATGACTTTATCAAAAATTTAATTTATTGACAACCAGTTTCTTGTTCAGAAATAAAGTTCATCCAAGAAAACAACAAATTAGAACAGCCAGTCACTGATCTTCCTCCAGATGTCTAGCACACCTGTACTAGCAGAGAATAAAGCTGCCTCGTTTGAATTTTCCTGCATTCATTTAATCAAGTCTCAGGAGGAAGTAACCACAATGCAAGCATATTATCCTTTTCATGGTGCATATATTTAGCTTATGAAAATAATCTCCTTATTGCTGTTTAGTGAATTATCCCTTTCATTTCCCTCTTCACAAAATTATAGACTCTACAATAACAGCTTCAAGAGAGCGCTCTGGTTAAGGGAGGGTCCTTCAGTACTCTAGTTTCAAGATGGAAAATAATCTCCTTACTCCTTTAGCTCTGCCAATGAAGCTGAAATCCTAATGTCATGGCCCAGTAAATAGAGAGATGTAATTAAATCACTCCACTGGACTAATTCACCAAGTGGGCCACCACTAAAAGCGTTCTCTGCTATCTTGAACCCAGATTCTTTTGTGAGGAGTCCCAGATGAACAAGGACCTGTAAGAAAATGTAAAAAAATAAATAAGTATTGGTATTAAGCATAGAGTTGAAACCAGCAGAACAGAGTGTCGATTCATATTCAGGTTTGGTGGCAAATTAATCAGAAGCATAACCACTTTTTATATCAGTAACTCCAACTGACAGGGCTTAGAACTGTGTCTGTTTGGCACTAAAGAAAACTAAAACATTCTGGCATGTGTATGTCTTAACAGTTTTTAACATTTACAAAACACTATCTTAAGTACTGTATAGTGCAAGGTAACAGAGTTTATGTCTGGTGGCCCATCCTCTATAGTAAATTCTATGAAGATGGACAGGTTCTTGCCAGTTTCAACATATATCTGTTTCAATTTAATGTTAGGATACAGCATTTAGTTTCCACTTATTGCCTTGCTGTGAAGTATCCTGTGTTCTTCAACATCTAGTGATTTCTCTACATATGCAGACTAAGTGCTTTCCAGTGTTAATTGATGGTAGCTGGTTTGATTTAGCTGAATGGAAATCATCAACATTCTTGTCTCACTATGCAGCTGAATCTAAGTAATATTTCATAACAACAACAACAACAACAAAAATCATCCAAGAGACATTGCATTTTCCTCCAAAAAGCAATTTATCTGCCCGGAAGTAAGATTTCCTATTATGATACAGGTTGCTAATGCCCGAGATCTGCTTATCATTAGGACCTGATTCCACATGCTATTTCCTATTATGATACAGGTTGCTAATGCCGGAGATCTGCTTATCATTAGGTCCTGATTCCATAGAGAAACCACATGCTAATAACTGCCCTGAAGTACCAATATTTACCTCAGATATACCCTCATATTCTCCTTTCCTTATCATCTGTGCCTTTTCTAAGTCTGTACAACTTATTTTATTTAGTGTACAGCACCTATTACATAGGCCTATGTATTGTATTACTGTGTGGAAGCATTTCTTAGCATTTTATCTGATGAGAAACTCTTGAGAGTATACACCAACTGTGTTCAATCAGCCCTCACCGGATACTGAATGAGTAACTGGCAGCATTTTAGAGATACAAAACCAGATAGTGCACTGCAGTTTCCTAGATACAGCAATGTAAATGTTTATGTCAGGTTTAAAACAGAACTCACTTTTTTCCGTTTTCTCTTCTCCAAGTTTTGTTTTTCAGCAAGTGACTTGATTGCTTCTATCCAAGTATCAGCCATTCTCCTAATTCGTAGCATCATCCACCGAAACTCTTCATGTCTGGACATCATTTTGTATAGCAAATCAAAATTGGTTCTTATTTCAGCCTTCAATTACACAGGAAGATTAAGAAGTCAGTGATACTATAGCCAAGAACACCCCCCATGAATCCCCTCTAAAATGTGCATTTGTATCAGGTGGCACATCTATAATCCATTTTTCCATGAATATGAAAGTTAGATACATTCTTTTCTTCTTTTTAAATCAAGCTCAAGAAACAGGAAAATAGGTACAATAACTATATGGTGTTACTTTGGCAATTTTACATTCTGAACTTAATCATTAAAAGCAGCTGATTCAGCTTCCTGAAATATGATAGAAATGTTTATTAAATGCTTATCATATTTATACTTCTACGTTTTAAATATTGATATACAATATTCAATATATAAATTGGCTGTTAGCTCAAAATCTAACAATATAGTTTTATTTCCAATGAAATAAAGCATAATTTAAAAATCAGATCAATATGGAACTAGTGAAGCTAGTCTGTGTTTAAAGGTTCTCCCCCACCTTTAATCATACTAATATTCCACCATTAACAAAATTAACTTTAGATATCAAAAATTTCCCCACTGTCTTAATCTTTTTTTTTGATATAATATGAAAAATATGCATTACTATTTGCTGAAATGTCTACAAATATTAAAAAACTAGGAACAAAATATCTCCTCCCCACTAAAATAAAACAATGAAAAAAGGTGACAAACTAGTATTATAGAATTATTGGGCATGAATCCAATCTGGACTTATTTATGACTCATTAATTGTCTTTCTCCAAAAAGTTAACCAAGAGTAACAACTAAGGCCATTCATTTTCAAAACTGTACAGCATGCTTCTCACCATTGTCTTTTGATCAGTTTCTTCATTAGGATTCTTTGCTCTCCAGGGTAAACGAGGACACCAGTTTTCAACCTGCACAAATGGGGAACTTCTGTTAAATTCAGTGTCAAAGGAATGGACCAACATGTTGAAACAATTTTTCATAGGATCATAGCAAAGCGTGCTGCTTATATACCGCCCCATAGCACCTCAAGCACTCTCTGGGCAATTTACAAGTTAATTATGCAGGCTACACATTGCACCCCAGCAAGCTGGGTACTCATTTTACCGACCTCGGAAGGATGGAAGGCTGAGTCAACCTTGAACCGCTACCTGGGATTGAACCCCAGGTTGTGAGCACAGTTTTGGCTGCCGTACAGCGGTTTAACCACTGCGCCACGAGTTTATAGAATCATGAATTGGAAAGGGCCTATTTTCCTTGATGTGATTCTTTCCTCAATTTCTGGGAGTCACAATAGAGCAATACAAGGTAACCAGGTGACAAAACAAAGGGACCTTATTTGGCAGGTATTTGAGAGAGCAACAAAAGTTCGAAAGATGAAGAAAACAGGCTAGCAATTAGAAGCTTCTTTTCAACCTCTGCAATAAACAAGCTATCTTTTAATAATGGATTGAATACAAAATATATAATTTTAAAAGATTCAGTTCTGAAGTGCTCAGGGAGTTGAGGCTATTGAAGTAGAATTTTCAAGAGAGCAGGACAGGAAGGTAAACTTTTGGCAGGAAGAAAGGAAGGAACACACCCCCATGAGTAATCAAGACTAAACAAAAAGGTGTAAGATAAAGAGTACGTATTTTCCTTTATATAAATAATATCTTTACTATTCATAATCTGCCTGTCTGCTTTAATACATCAGAATGTTATCAGTCCAGTCTCTAATTCTTAGGACACTGGCAGTGTTACTAAAGGATTGAATCCAGACTTAGTTATGACTTAATTTTCCAGCAATTCTGAAGTAAGCTTTAAATCTGCATCAAGTCTAATTTGAACTGTACCTAAAGTTGTTGTAGCAAATAATGATTTATGTTTCGGTGGTAACTAATTTTTCACACTTTGGCCAAATTTCTTATTGAATAATTGGTGGAAGGGTGATCAACTTGACTGCAATCCGTTTTACTGTCTCTGACATTATAGGCAATCTATCACTGCTGGGTCACCTCGGAGGGGGAGACTGCTGATAGTTAAAAAGTTGCTGCTTCAGTCCTGCAGGCTGCCTGACTCATCTTCAATGAGACTGATTTGTATGGTAAGCCCCAAGACTGAACAAGCAACTGTTTTTATTACCAGCAATTTCCAGTCAGTGACATCATCACCCTTACACAAAGATAATTTAGTCAACAGGATATGGGGCTTTGAAATGTTAAGACTAGTAGACCAAAACTGTCTCATGTTTTTGTCTCAAAAAACTAAAAAAAAATTGTCAATATCTTATTGTTGTGAACAAATCAAAACACTTACACACAATACTGAAAGAACTACAGTACTTGGAGTTATATTCTTGCTTTTTCTTTCAATGGAAACATGTGATGTGAGCATGGTGTATAAAGAAAGAATATTTCTTCTTTTCTTTCCCTTCATTCCCCCCCCCCAAAAAAAAACTATCTTCAAAAAAGTACATTCCTGTGCAAATTACTCTGCTCAAACACCAAAGCTTCTGTTAGTACTGGAAGGCATCCAAGCTTCCACTGGCATCTGCATGAGTTTCCATTCCTGGATTAAGAGCAGCTTTGACGGTTGGGTGTGATTTTTTAATTGGCAAAATGAAGGTGAAGCAAAGAGTTACATTTTCTTCCTTACTCAGTACAGTCTAGATCAGGGTTCACTGTACCTGCTATTTCTTTCCATTTTTAAAAACAATAATGCAATTTTGATTGCCATATGTTGCTTGGTCCTATGGTATTAGATGTACAACGTATGTACCTCTCTGCTGTAAAAAAATGCTATAAAATATTTTTCTTCTGTATAATATACCGTACATTAGGATTTAAGAATTTCCCATAAGTTAAACCATATATAAGCTGCTTTTTAAAAATAGCCTGAAAGAAAGAATGAGGGACACTTCTGACCATGGGCAGAACTTTTAGTGTCTCAATCCTAATACACAGAACACCCAGAGGGACAGAAGAATGTAACTGTCACCTACAACTATATCTGAATCCCTGACAACTCAGCAAGGCCTCTTTCAAGAGTCAAAAGGTTACGGTGCAGATTCTTTCCAAAATCTTCTAAAACCAAACATTGATTTTGCACAGTGCTGTCACCAATATCAGTGAAGCTTGTACAAAGATAACTATCCAATTACCAAACACACTTCAACTTCTTAACAAGTAACTTTGCATTTTTGTCATGTTCCTGCAATATTTAATATTTCTATTAAACAGTACCATGTTACATACATGAGAAAGTGCTACATATTCTAAATTACAAACTTGTCTGAAGTCAATGAAGAAAAACAGTAATTCAAGACAGTGGTGAGCTTATCTAACAAAAGCATAGAAATTCCTTGTCACAAACAAATATGATCATGAATGCTACAACTTAATTTCTTTGTTCTGGTGGGTTTAAGCATTGGGTGCCTCCAACTGCATTCAACATTATTTTTCTAACAGTCAAAATTGAATGAACAGGCAAAAACCTGGCCTACACTTAGACTTGATTTATATAAGTACAGTACATTTATGATATCTGCACAGATTTACGTGCATGAGGGACTGTGGTTCATTGAGGTTTTGTTGTGTGTGGAAAGGACTGACTTAACACCCTTTTTCTTCATCTTCTCCTTTACAGATTGAGTCCTTTCTCTCTCCCCTGTCCCTTCCTCCTGTTTTTGTGGCAACTGCTATACACATCTTAATTCTTAATGTGTTTTCTAAAGAGAGGGTATAAGCCACTCCATACATTCAATCAACATACAGTGCAGGAGTGACTCTACTTCGGGGCCTTTACAAATGTTCCCAACATCCACAGGACTTGCAAATGCCTTGAAACGGGCTGCTGTGCATTTTATCAAATCTGCAGAAAGTGGGAGGGGGTGAATAATGTGGCCTCTAGCAAGTGAAGAATGGGGGTGGATGCAGGTGGCAGATACAATGTTTTTTCACCCTCTAGCTTTCAGATAGAGGAAATATTTGGGGTCTCTTTATTCCTATTTTTAAGGGTTCAGAAACAGATTAGCAAATTCTAATTCAAATGCTTGAGCCAAAAGAGTGCATACGTGTGCATATGTATAAAGTATGGGACAATCAATGTTGCCATCTGGAAGCAGAACAGTGCTCCTCATGGGGTATCAATCTGGATGGCTTCCAGTCTTTGGCAGGGGTGGGGACTGCTACTGGCTTGGATGAGGAGAAGCTCAAGGAAAAATAGGTTTCCTTGAGCTTCTCCACATCCAAGCCATTACACTTGGATATTTCACTTTAATAATAAATATGTATTTATAAGAGCTATTTATATGCTATTCCAACTATTTGGTTTAGGTTGTGACTGAGCATACTACAAACAAACTATAGGCAGAAATGCTGTAGACGAAAGGAAGCCCTATTTCACATTCAGAGTATGTTAAATTTACTGTACACTTCCTGCATGTACATAAAATGAAGGCTTGTTCCCTAAATGTTTCAGAGATATAGTCTGCAGGTGATTAAAAATGGGGAAAAAACAATGCAATACAAAGAAATCTAACAGCGTAAGAATGAAGTAAGACCAGCAGCCTTAAAATTGGCACAGGAATATCCTCTACTCAAAAGCTTGAACTTTCTACCATTAATTTATCAAGAGATGTTGTTTTGCACAAACATAATTCTGTAGCAAGATAATACCAATACTTATTTTATTAGAAAGAATGAACAGTCAGCAGAGCAACAAAGATGGGTACTTCTGGGCACAGTGAATGCATCTCCATTTTAACCAAAACTGGCTTTCTATAATGATTATAGATTATTTAATGTGTAATTGCTGAAGTTTTTATCCTCATTATCATCAGTACACTGCCAAGTTTTATTTCCAATTATTAAACTATGAAGTTGGCTTGTTTGCAGAAGCCATTTAAATTCAACTACAGCGTAGGGAGTGGACGTTGCATTTAACAGTGGTTAAATGAAAACAGAGGCAAACAGTTCTGATGTCTTTCTCAGGATAAAGATGTACGTCCAAGGTTTTCATATGAAAGAACTAAATTATACTTTGGGGTTACATGCAAATCTGGCCACAGAGCTGTGCATCCCGAGGAGCACTAGTACAACCACAGCTTGGACAATCAAAGCCCCACAGGGCTTTCTTAGTACCAGGAACTGTGATACCATCTGCCACCCCCCGGGATTCCCTGCTGCCTCTGAGTTGACCTGCTGTTCCTAAAGCAGCTGGGAAAGAAATGGATTTTGCTGGGAATACTATTTTGTTCCAAGTGATCTCTGCTGCACCCCACCCCCAAAATAAAAATAAAAAATCCAACCATGATTTCGTCTTAAAGGGGCAACTGAAAGTCATTAACTTTAGAAAAGATCTGCTCATTTCTGAACAAGCACTGATCTAGTTGTCTGCATTCTGTCCAGTCCAAAGGAGAAGCAGGACAAGGAAGGAGATCAGAGACCTTCGGGTTGTCTGCTCACATGCAGTACCTAGAGAATACACTGACACAGCTCACAGGGTCCTTGTCTCACTCCATCAAGTGAGATGGTGTTATTTTGGCAGTTATGAAAATAATTTATAGTTCTCTACAAATATATTATAATGTACAATTTTATGCAAACTGCTGTCCTTTTCCGCTGAGTCGTCAGTGGTCACCCTAGCAAACACCGGAAGTTACAAACTTTACAAAATAGACTATTCTGTTTCTCCTGGTAACGAAACTCAGGAGGCCAGGTTTGGCCCCTTTCTCTTCAAGAGAGAAAAATTTGCCCCTCGACCACCAAAGCTCCCCACTATTGCTTTAAAGACTGGCTAAATCTTCCACTTGGCAGCATTTGGCTCTGAATGGTAAAGAAGAAGAAGACGACAGCCCTTGCCACAACTTCTTCTTCCTCTAGGAAAGAGGCAACCACTATCCCAGTTTTAGGAGCACCACTGCCACTCCAGCACTTGCTTGTTGAATTCTAGCATAGCAGCAAGCACTGAAGTAGAGTCTGTTTGCCAGTGGAGACAAGCTAAAGGAGTTCTTACGTATTCTGGACATGGCAAGCGTTTGGCACATCCTAATAAAACATTTACCTTCCGCTCTCTGTGTGTGTATTGGGGGGGGGGACCTCCCATCTTAATAATTGCATCTTTTCTTAAAAATAGCTTCAAAACTGGAGTTAAAAATTGGAATAAAATATTGATACAGTACTGTACTGTCATTCAACGAACACTAGAGGCAGTTCAAAGGTAGCATTGCTGTTTATTTCTAACAGAATATGCTTTGGTCTGGGACTAGTCTGTTTTCTGTTTTCCTTTATTAACATTTTTTGAACTACGTACAAATATTTTTAAGAGAATGCCTAAATCTGCTTTTAAAGATTTTGCTTTACAAAATAATGTTAATATATTGTAAACCTTTCGAGGAGTGCCATTAGCAGACAAACGACGCTTTAAATAAATTTTTAAAAACACTTTCCCTCTAAATGACATTACGCATCGTCACTACATTTAACATTCAGTTTCCACCCATATCATGAACAGTGGATGTTCCATCACTGCTCACTTTGACAAATTACTCTGTGGAACACCAGCTCCAAGTTATCTTTAGCAGCCAACGCAGCTCATACATCCACATCAGTGCAGTAAATATAAAAAAATTCATTTCATGCTTGCATTCACAAATATTTAAGCCATTGCTATTTTGCATTAACCACAGTATTAAGTATGCAGGATTTAAATTCAAGGTGAACAGTACGATCAAAAATTATTAGTTTTATGTGCTGTTAAAAAAGCAAAGCAAAACATTTAGAAACTGCACCCCAGCACTTCAGTCTGCAGCTCACAAAATATACATTTGCTTCCTATAAAATTATGTACCGTAACAACCATCATTTAAAGTAATTCGTATTTGAACACAAGTCAAGTGAAGAACACTAGAAGCACAATTCTTTGCTTGTAATTAAATTATGAAATTTTATCCAGTCTGCAGAAGCTACTAACAGAAGGAAACTGGTGAAGAAATATAAATGTGGATTTGACATCCTACTGGCCAAAGGTGCAGATCTAGCCTTGATGTCATATGACTCAAATCTGAAGTCTCACAAGATCCAACATGTTGGCCCTTTCATAGTTCCCATACAACACCTGTATATACTCTTTCTCCTTTACAAAGAAAGGCCTCTGCAATAACAAGCAAAAAAGGTTGCATAGAAGGGGTTTAAAACACTACGTGTTTTAATCTCGTATACAAATGTATTTATTTATATTTGCTCTTTTTATGTCTTGTTTATTTCCCTAATTTAAAAGATTCTGGATCATGGAATCCCCCCCCCGACTATTAGCATCTGCCACTGAAGACAAGAAGGGAACACAATACGCTTAACAGAAGATCCTACAAAGTGATTACATGATTACTGGGGTGCTATTTCGATACTGTTTGTTTGTTTGTTTGTTTGTTTGTTTGTTTATTTATTTATTTATTTATTTTATATGCTGCCCACTCTACCCAAAGGTCTCTGGGTGGCTTACTGATGAGAGCACTGGTGGCCTGGACCATTCAGGAGCCGTGTGCATATCCAGAGCTGAAGAGACAGCTTTGTTCCCCCCTCCCCCCCCCACCTAAGGACACCATCTGATAGATTGCTCACACACTTCCTCTTGTCAGTAGGACTCAGCAGTTTAAGTGGAACTCTGCCAAGAAGGTGCTGCTGTTCGTAAATCCTTTGATGCCAGGCCTCCATCTTTTACTCACCCAAAAGCTATGAGTAAAACAATCTACAAATAAATAAGTAACCATGTAGGAATTTATAGCACTGGACAATTTGCGTATAAAATACACATAAATTCAGGTTTTAACCACTGCTTCCTCTTACCTAAAAGATGAATCTTTTGGTACAGCCAATATGTAATCATATTACAGTTATGATTGAAGAAATGAAGTGGATTTTGAAAGCTTATGTTGTTCACAGTTAATCGAAATGTAATATTCTGTTTTCTATAAGACCCAAACATAAACCAAGCGAACAAGAAAACTGATCATTGATTAGCCATAAAACTTAGAAAAACTGGATGCTAATTATCTATTCCCAATATTTCCTTTGCTAGCCTTCTTTTGAACTGCATTTGTTCTATCATCTATCTTGGGTTTAATTAGCATGTCTATAAAAAGATACCGGTAATACTCACTGACACATGCCAGGAAACACTAAGATACCTCCTGAGGTGAGGAAGATATTAACATGCTAACTTGCTCTATGAAAACGTTTTGGCTTTTCATTACCTTTTGAAAGCAAGGGGATAAATACAGCGTGTTCAGAGAGAGAAAGAGGGATAGGAGGAGAAACAGAGTGCACTGCTGTGAACGAAAATATGTACTATGCATTTTAATAATTCATTATGCAAGTTATTCTGCATTCTGCATCACCAACATCAATAGAAAATACAAATGTCTCAATGGCAAAGCCAATCTTTATTAAGAAAGATCCCACCCAGCTCCCCACAAACCTTTTTTAGAGAACAAAACCAAAAAATAAAACAAAGCATGCTGACATAGGTAATGCATTAAACTACATTTCAAATTTTAACGAAATTATCCAAGGTAGAAATATAATTGGGACAGCAGAACATTTTCACTTTATAATAAATTTTACAATATATAAATAGTAGCATATTTGAATTTGTCCATGTTTTTAAATCTTAGAGGATGCCTAACGTAAATAATAATAGATACAAAAACAATCAATTATAATCATGAAACTATGACAAGAACCATTAGATACACATTCAAGTCACAGTGACTTCTTTCAGTAAATCATGATTAACAGTAAACATATTTTGTCTAGGTTATAAAATGTCAAGAAACCATGGTTAGTTGAAATCAAAAGCACACAGCAATTACCACCAAAATAGAAAGCTGTCCTGTAAAAGAGGCAGGGAATGTGTGGCCTTCCAGATCTCATTTAATGGCAACTCCTTGTCTAGCAGAGTTAGATATATATGACTCATCTCCCTGAATTTGCTCATAATCCCTCAGGGAGAATTCAGGGAGATGTAGCCCCAAACCAGAAGTGTACAGACCAGGCTTTTCCACATTTCTGGGTGCCACCAGTTGGCTGGTGCTCCCTAGGAATCACAAAACTATCTGGAGGTCATGAGATTTCATGAGAGGGGTAGTTTCGCTGTTCTTTAAACTCTATAAGCGGTAGTTCCCAATCTTCGGTCCCTAGATGTTCTTCAAGTAAAACTCCCAGAAGCCTTCACCGCTACTTGTGCTGGACAGGATTTCTGGGAGTTGTAGTCCAAGAACATCTAGGGTCTCAAGGTTGAGAATCACTTATATAGAGAGGGCTTCTAAAAAAACTAACCCCTCCCTCATGAAGCTTAGCAACTCCAGGGTATTTATTTATTTAAAATATTTTTACCTTGCCTTTGTCCTTAAAAGGACTCACCATTAAACTTTCTCTGTTTTTGAAAAAGAAGACCAGGCTACTGCCAGGACCCAGGAATGTAAGAAAAGCTGATCTGTGGACTTCACTTTTTGAGCACCATCTCTTAAGACTTCTGGTGGGAGGAAGTTTGAATCCAAAGGATCTGAAAGTCCTTTGACCTGCATTTATTTCTGTAGTCTTTTATATTAACCAAAACATAGATGTACTAACCTCACTGAGGTAAATAAAGAATGAGCATGTAGACCCATCCACACCGTAACTTGCGTAACAAGGATCAGATCGCCACATATCTTTCATCCACTAGAAGGGGGGAAGCACAAAACCAGAAAGTCAGGGATCCATAAGTCTGCCTACAGGACTAACCATGCATTTATAGCAAGGCAGAGGGAGCTGCATTTATAGTAAGGTAGAGAAAAGCACTTTTTATCTGCTACATCAGTATAGATTTCATTTGCTAGCATGAGATACTTGCTACACCTTCTGAATGTTTTATACAGAAAATGGGTAGAATAAATTCAGTGTTTTCCAAAGGCTGAATATTAACCATTACAAAAATAATCATCATTAAATTCATGACTTCTTTGGACCAGTACCAGTAAAAGACTATCAAAATCTAACAATTAAGTTAAAAATCTAACAATAAAATTAAAAGTGTTACTCACATGCCTCTCTATACAAGGTCGACATTATTCCTCCCCAAAAGGAAAAGAGTTTGGAGATGTGTATTAAATAGCCCAAACTCCACTCTATAAATGCATGCCGACTATAAATACCCAGACTCTTTGAGAGCCAGTGTGATATAGGGTCTAGAGTGATGGGAGTAGGATTCAGGAAGGCTGGATCCAAATCTCTACTTAGGTACAGAAACATATTGGGGATGGCAATGGTAAAACCACTCCTTGAGTATCTCATATACAGTACTTTGAAAATGCTTTTAGAGTAATTCATATGTTGATGCAGTTTGACGGCATATAGCATAGCACCTGGAAATTTAGTTAGTACATCCAAGGGTCTATGGTATTTCTATGAACTGCTAGGTATTACAGCCTTAGACTACCAGACTGGGAACCACTGCACTATAAAAATCCAACTGGCCTTTCCTAATAGATTTCTTTAACCCAAAACTATAAGAAGCCCAGTGTGAGAGCACAAGCCTAATCAAAAGGGGCCCGAGGCAGCTGCTGGCCTATCTGAATCTAGGTAACCACTGAGATCATTCCTATTGCATCCAAGCAGATAAAAAAAGCACTGCTCAATAAATGAAACAATATTGGTTCCTATTTCCCATGGATAGGACTTGCAAAATACACTTCTCCCTTGAATTGCACAGACCTGAGAAGCATGGTTTTGGTTATACATGAATTTTAGTAATAAACAAACAAATAAATAAATACTGTTGTATTATTCATCTCTAAGAAATGGCCAGAGAAAGGTAGGTCTCAGGCTCACTTAGGGTCATGCTGTTGGCAGTGTGGCAGCCTCTGGTCTGATGGTGGTGGGTCAAATGGTGCCCGATTTGGGCATGGCGGCTCCACATGATAGCTGGGGAGGTTGCTAGGGTATGCCAGGAGGCTGATCCAGGAAGTGGGTGTATGTTTATGCTTTGTGTTTGTTTGAGGGAGCATAAGAGTTATACACGGGTTTTGAACTACATGGTGTTCCTAACCCCAGCGTTGTTAAAAGGGGAAGTGTACTGTTATTAGTCCAGCCTTTGTGAAAGATGAAGCTGGGACGATTTGCACTTCTTCGCTTGCAGCCAACTGTGGGATGGTTGGGAAAAACTGTATACAAATGTAGGAACTGTGCTGTCTGCATTTCTGTTTGACAATACAGTTACAGTAAAAAGGAAAACAGTCCTTCTTTCCATCAAAAAGTTTTACCATTTTTTATTTTTCATGTTAATTAATCAATCATTTCATTTTGTGTTTCACTTATAGCAGCAAACATTTAGCTAGCTGTGAGACAGGTAGTACTCAGGAGTTTTGGATTGCAACTCCCAGAAGCCTTCACCACCAACTGCTGGCTGGGGTTTCTGGGAGTTGCAGTTCAAAAACATCCGAGTAACAAAGGTTAAGAACCACTGATTTAGCTAGCTGTGAGACAGGTAATTCACCTAGGTCTTCAGCAATGCACAGACCTTCCCTGTGTATAAAGATCTTTGGGGGGGCATACAAATCATCTCAGCTGGATTGGTCAGCAATTCTTTGAGGCACCAGCGAGCCTATACTTTCAGGCTAACTTTATTACTTAAAGAAGTGCACTGATAGTAGCTAATTAGCTCTTTATAGAAGAGTGGCTCTAAACTGCAGGGCTCCTGATAGTCTTACAGTAGAACTCCACCGAGCTCAGACAAATGATGTACCGGGCTAATTGTTTTAACTAAGATTTTGGGGTGCTATAGTTTATAACAAGGTTAGACCATCCATTACTAAACCTAATTTCTAAAGGGCAATATGCATGTTTTCCCTTTGGGGGGCAAGAGTGTAAATGCCATGTATCCTCTACAGAGAGTCTAACAAACTAATATTTAAATGGTGTCAATACCATCATTATAAAGAGCTGAACATGTTCAATTTTAAATGTTGAAGCCAAGGAGTTAACATCCACATTTCTAATGTTTAACTTTAACTTATTAATTTTTGTTAATTTGCCTATGGAAGTGTGGCAATATCAGGGGGGTCACTGTCAGTAATTAAAGCTCTCCTCCTTATGTCCTGTGGCTCCCACCTAATGAAATTGATTACTCATGAGTTAGACAAGCTGTGGGACAGAAGGAAGAAACATTAAATCATTTTTTAAAAAAACAAACTCCCCTACTATCACCCTTCCACAGGCATAATTTACACAACAGGATTTGGGAGAAAGAGTTGTCAAACAGGACTGTTTGAAAGCTCACTCAGGACTAGCCAAAATAATACTACTATCACATTGGGATCTGCCTTTCTGGTCAATATTTTATGAACAAATTACTGAGCACATAAGGGGGCCTTTCTTGGGGGCTGCGACCAAGCTCTGGAACTTGCAAGGGTTGCTGGGCTAGTGCTCCTGCTGACGCACATAAGGGGGCCTTTCTTGGGGGCTGTGACCAAGCTCTGGAACTTGCAAGGATTGCTGGACTAGTGCTCCTGCTGACAAGTAAAGACACCCTGCCCCCCAGGTGGGGTTTTGATAGCTTGTAAGGATGGCATTGTTTGTTTCCTTATTTTTCTAACTTTACCAACAAATCTCATGGTGATATATAAAAAAACAACCTTAAAAGACCCTGAATCAATTATAATACTTCAAATTAAGTTAAAACATTTTAAAACTATTTACCAATTCAAACTATGTGTAGTTTGTTTTCCCAAATGATTTGTTTTTAATTACATTTTAAATTGTACTTTTAATTTAATTTTAACTGTTTATCTTGTGTTGCATTTTAATTTTATTCTTGTATCTAAAAATTCTTTCTCCTCTCAGTATTTGTTTTGCTTGTAAAGCAAGAAGAAATACAATGAGAGCTTCATCTTACTTTTATTTTGCCCTCACAGTGGGGAAAACCATCCATGGGAGGCAGTTCACACTGTTCCTGGGCTCCATTAATGAGATCTAGAGGCAAAGAGAAACATAATATTATCCAGTAATACTACATACATCATAAAGGTTTCATGCTTTTCTCTCAATTGGCTGAGCAAATGAATCAGCAATGAAATTCCAACAGAGTCATAAAATTCAGTAGTGCTGCTTCTCCCTACAGAAAAACTGGGATAAAAGCCAAAAAAACAAGGAATAATAAAACCCTGAATATGCAAGAAGTGTATTAAGACATGAGAAAGTATTAAAAATTAATGGAAAGAATTTATCATCATTTATAATTAAGCACAGTTAACGTTCTAACCAGGTTAAAGCAAAGCAATCCTCTCATATATTTATTAATTGTACTGTGGTGCTTCTGACAAAACCTCTCTGAAGGCTGCCCGCCCCAGTAGCTCACAAAGTTATACAACCAAATTCAGGATACCCCCCAATGCACAGCGTAGTCCTCTATGATTTTTAACATTTCCACGAGGCCACTATGAAAGGCTATGCAGAGTTTGGGGGCATAGGATCACCTTTATGCTAATGGCAGCTTTATTTCTTTTTCTTTCTTTTTACCGATACCAGAAGTCCTCAATTGGTGCACAGTTACAAGATAGGGGATACTTGGCTCAGTAATACTACTAGATCAAAAGCTGAATATGAGCCAAAAATGCGATGTGCCCCCCCCCCCAAAAAAAAGGAAAAGGAAAAAAAAGCTTGAAAAGCCAGCTCATGGATAGGGTTCTATTTCTCCCGAAAGATCAAATTCACAGCTGGGGCCTCGGCCCTACTCCTGGAAAGCCAAGTGGCTGCTGTGGCCAGGAGTGCCTCTGCTCAGCTTTAGCTGGTGTATCAGCTGCACATCCCAGTAGTCTTAGTAACTATTTATTTATTTATTTATTTATTTATTTATTTATTTATTTATTTATTTATTTACTTACTTACTTACTTACTTACTTACTTACTTACTTACTTACTTATTTACTTACTTACTTACTTACTTACTTACGTACAATATTTTTAGCCGCACCATTACCAGTGGCTTCTGGGAGGCTACTGTAACATTTAAGACTACTGTAACACTCTTTTCATGGGGCTGCCTTGAAGAGTGGTCAGGAATTATAGCTAATGCAAAATCTGTTAGCCAAAGATGTCTCAGGCACACTTTTGAGGCAATATAACATCAGTCTTGATCAAACCACGCTGACGCCTAATTTATTTCCAAGTAATTAATTCAAGCTGCTGTGTTGTTGTTTTTAATCTATAAACTCTAGAATTACTTGGGGCTACAATATTTGAAAGCTCTCCTCCTTCTATATGAATCGGTGTGGAGTATGATATCCTTAACAGAGGCCACAGATGCTACCGCCCCCAAAAGGCTAGTTTAGCTAGGTTGGGTCCATCTTGGCTGACCTAAAACTGTACTTGTCTGAGGAAACTTTGGTTTTCAGGATTGGGTTTTCATCTGATTTCAGTCATTTAAAATCTACTATAAATTACTCTGGGAGCCCTGTTGGGCAGACAGACAATTCAAACATGCCTTAAGTAAATATAAACAAATAAGTTTTCCTATTATGTATATATATAAAAAATTCCAGGCTCCATTTTAACAGCAGCTGTCTGAACAACGCACAAGAATATGCCTTGAAGATTCTCAAATCAAACCACAAATATAGACATGCCAAACCCACAGTACTCTTAATGTTCTGAAAAGGTTTAGGCTTTATGCAAAATGTCAGTGTAGTCAAAATATAGTATAGTGTGGGCAGCGACAAGATAAAAAGACAGCATACAAATTTAAAGGCAAAAAAGTGTTTGCTATATACAGTAGGACACCCTTATCCATCGAATCAGTATCCACTGATTCACTTATCCATGGTCTGAAAATATTAAAAATATTAAAAGAAAAAATCCAGGGGAATTTTTTTTATTTTTTATTTTCACATGCATTAGCAGAACTGGCCACTAGATGGAGACAGATACTGTGCTATGAATACTGTACTTGTTAGCAAAAATACATAGCATGGTCTCTGTCACCCTCTAGTGGCCAGTTCTGCTAATGCATGTGAAAATGTAATGCATCCTTTCTTCTTTTCTTTTACTATGTATATATAACTTGGAACCAATCCCCAACCAATCCCCTGTACTTGCAGACATAGCATATATGCTACACATGTGCTAAGGTTCAAGTAATTCTTACAAAGAAAATTATTTCTGCATATCAAGTTTTGTTTACAAATACTACTGACTCAGCTGAAAATTGTATTTCATATGCTTTACCACATGTATTTCTACATATACAGTATATTACATGTATTTCTCCTTTCCCTTGTTCTTTTCATAATGACCATGTTATATTTCGGTGTGCACAAGGATAATGATGAAGGAAAGGTACTGCCCCTGTGCCCCACAGGTATTGGCATGACATGAAAGGAAGACTGAGACGGCACAATTTGGTACCAACAATAACTGTCAAGTCAATTAGACACAGAGTACTGTAATTACAAAAACCCTTTAAGCCAATATCTGATGAGTTTGAGCTAGACAGCTGACACTTTAACAACTGTTTTAGAAAGCACACACACACACACACACTACTTAAGGCCACTGATTTAGCTCAGTCCTAGACTTGTCCTTCGGCACACAAACTGTAAACTAATTCAAAGAGAAGTTTGCAAGAGATTCATTATAGATTTTTCTGTCACGATCTTGAATAGAAAGTGGCCTTTCTAAAGGCTATTTATAATTTCCAGCAAACCTTTTCTCCTCTAAGCAGGCTCTCTCTCCACACACACACACACACACAAACACACACACACACACACACACACACACACCCACACACACACACACACACACTCACTCACACACTCACTCACTCACTCACTCACTCACTCACTCACTCACTCACTCACTCACTCACCATAAATGTAGATGTTTAATACAGTCTAAAAAGATAGGCAGAAGATTGCAGAAGAGGGTACATGCTTCAGCAATGCAAATTGTCACTTTTTATTCTACGCTGCCACGGGAAACTATGCTTATTCCTCAAGTTTTCACCAGATGGCATATCGGGTTATCAGAGAGGTATTTGTAGGATGAGATATGGATACTCTACCCTTCCTTCCCTTTTCATGGTCTTTCCTTCCTGCATACCATTAAATATAACTTGGGTTAAGGGCTTGATCTGAAATATTATGTGGATGTTATGAACCCATCAGAAAAGAACAGAGAAAAGCATTTCAGGAAATCTAAAGGAAAACAGAAATATATGCCGTTATAATCTACAAATGAAACACGGGGACTCCTCAGGCTCTACATTTTGGATCTCATACATGCTATATATTCACTGCTCAGACCTGGGGCTCACATGCTTCTTTCCCTGTGCATATAAGCTTACGCCAGAAGAAACTACTCTGGATTTTTGAGTTGCCTGCTATGAGCAGTGAGGCATAGTATGGAAGCAATGTCCCCAAAGACACAAGCTCTCCTAGTGCAAAGATCCGACTGAAGGAGCTTGTCAAAAGAGCCTCCTGGGGTTTGCTAGTTTAAGAACACAAAATGCATTACAATACTATCTCATGTGTTTCTGAAGTATAGCAAGTTACTTATGAGTAACCAGATACAAAGCTCCTTTTTATTAAACAATGCATTACAAAAGCAGCCGGTATTTACCATGAGGATACTTGTCCTTGCAGAAATACACAAGATATTATTTTAATGTTTTTCTAAAGTTTTAATATTGTTGTACACTCCTCAGAGACCATTGGTAATGGTGCTGCTAAAAATCTTGCAAATTAATTAATTAATTAATAATTAATTAATTACAGGAAGCCTGTAGATTACAATACTATTTTTAATTGATTGATTGATTGATGATTGATTGATTGATTGATTAAAATAGTATTGTAATCTACAGGCTTCCTCTTTTTTCCTAATTAGCAAACAAAGATGAATTTAAAAAACAATGAGCAAAGCTCTGTAATTTCTTACACATAGCTGAAAAAGATGATTTATAAGTTATAGGAAGCAGACAAAAACAAACAAACAAAAACAAAAAATACATAATATTGAATACACACGTATAAAATGAGGGGTAAATCATCTTCCTAAATAAAAGGTTGAAAACTTAATACCAACAATGCAGTTAACATAGACCAGAATCTTACTGGAGATTTGTGCTTGCAAAAGAAAGTCACGGTGGCAAACTGCTGCTTATTAATGAAACGTTGTGTTGGGGTTGCACATCTGATTGGGCATTTGCTCAGGAATGCAACTAGCACCTTGTTAAGGAGTGGCAATTTGCCACTGTGACCTACATGATGTTCCTTACACAAGCATAAGCAGCAAATTCAACTATCACTATAAAAATAGTTACAACAAAAAGATATTTTTTTCCTGTCCCTCATAATCACAGAGCTACAGAAACAGAAATCTAGACCCAAATTGTAATTGGTTCGACATCTGCATGTATGAATAAGGTTTTTATACTGCCGATTGAATTGTTACAGTGCTGTAGATGTCTTTGTTGACTTATCGATGGATTATTATACAGTTGGACACCGTCTGGCTTCTCAGCTGAGACCTGTCTGGCTTGGGAGACCCTTCAGCCTACAGTAGTTCTCAACCTCACTGAAGTGCACAAGCTCCTCCACCTCAACAAGGCCTGTGCCCATGGAGGGGATGATGATGATGATGATGATGATGATGATGATGATGATGATGTTATTATTATTATTATTAAAAATACCACAGCCAATGAAAACTATAAAAACATTGACTGGTATTATATAACAGATACAAGTTTTAACCAAAAACCTAAATATCTGTTAAATTTTGCTGCAGTATGTATGCTCTTCCTAATATTGCTGTTTTTTTTGTAGCTCTAATGGTGTTATTTCTGAGATCTGCAGTTGCTTATAGTACTGTGTGAAATTTCTTGATATTCTTCCCAAAGTCCCAATGACTACGGGGACCACTGAAGTATGTATCATCCATAAGTGAGATGTTTCGATTGCCAGGTCTCTGTA